ACGGTGCCGGCTCAGGATGAGGATAAAATTGGAAGACCTCCGACTTCTTCACACACGTCAGATGAAACATCCTGGTCTCGTACTGCTCCTTACATGACACTTTCACCACTTTGTCCTCCTCTATGGTCTCAAAGCCAGGAGGGAAATCCACTATGGAGGCCCAGAGTGGCGTCTTCCTGCAGACTCCTGTGAGGACACCAACACACCAATATTATTTTTACTTCTGTACCTGTGGGGCCAGGTTGTAAATGATTGGAGAAATAATCATTTTCATTTCCTTGGCAGCTCTGAAATGTCAGGCTGAATGCAGAGAGTTGCAAGGGAAGCCAATGTTCAAAATTGTCACAATAAACCACATTCTATAGGAACACTGTTCACCAAAGCATGGTATACTTTCTTTCACCCACACAAATCTGTCCGTACCAAGAACGGGCCACTTGGTTGTATTTGTTCCCCAGTTCAAAGACTCCCAATCCTCTCTTGCATCAGATATAAGATTTCACCTCCACCCAGCTGAACTGTGAAGGACAAGAGAGAGAGAAAAAAATTCCATTGTATGACCTGACGCCATCATCTGACATAGGAAATGGTTGACCCGGACCTCCTACTCCACGTGTATCTACATTTACCAAACTTCACTGATTTTTGAGGGTTCTTATGAGAAAGATCTTCCATCTCCACCCAGCTGGATTGTGAGGACAAGAGTTCTATTGCATGACCTGACCTTATCATCTTACTTAGGAACTAGGTGCTCCATACAGTCTAATCCATGTTTATCTAATTTGGCTAGACTTGACTGATTGTGGGGAGTTCTTCTGAGAAGGACCTTACACCTCAACCCAGTTGGATTTTGAAGGACAGAAGACAGACAAGACTTCCATTGTATGACTTGACCTCCTACTTGACCTCCTACTCTGGAACTGGGTAACCTGTTTCTTCTCCGTGTGTATCTAAGTTTGATCAAACTTGATTTGTTCCTTGGGGGTTCTTTTGCCTGACAAACCCACAAATATGAGAATATGGAGATCCTACAGGGGATGCAAATGAGCAAAGACATACAGATACAGAATGAGTGGTAGGATCTTAAATTTTACTGAGTGAACCAGGAGGACATTCCAGCTGTTTGTATGGTGGGCAGCAAGAGACAAACAAGAGTTCCATTGTATGACCTGACCTCATCATCTGACATAGGATCTAAATGACCCGTACCTCCTACTCCATTGTATCTACATTTACCAAACTTCACTGATTTTTGGGGGTTTGTCTTAGAAGGATCTTCCACCTCCACCCAGCTAGATTGTGAGGATAAAAGTTCTACTGTTTTGACCTGACCTTATCATCTGACATGGGAACGGGATGACCCATACCTTCTACTCCATGTGTACCTAAGTTTACCAAACTTGACTGATTTTTAGGGGTTCTTATGAGAAGGACCTTCCACCTCCACCCAGTTGGATTGTGAGGGGCAAGAGAGAGAAAAAAGTTCCGTTGTATGACCTGACGTTGTGTGTTCTGGCATAGAAACTGAAAGACTTGTACCTCCTGCTCTATCCGTATCTAACTTTATCAAAATTGACAGATTCTTGGGGGTTCTTCTGCCATATAGAAACATGAGAATGTAGAGATCCTAGAGGGGACCCAAAAGGACAAAGATTTACACAGATACAGAATGAGTGATAGGATGTTCAGTTTTACTGATTGGACCTGGAGGACCTTCCACCTTCTTCCCGCTGGATTGTGAGGGGCAAGAGACAAAAAGAGTTCCATTGCATGACCTGACCTCGTCTTCTGGCATAAAAACTGGATGCCCCACACCTCCTACTTTATGTGAATCTAACTTTATGAAACTGGATGGATTCTTGGGGGGTCTTCTTCTGGCAGATGAGCCTACAAACATGAGAATGTAGAGATCCTGGAGGGGACACAAATGGGCAAAAGATTTACACAGATGCAGAATGGGCAGTGGAATATTTTACTGATTGGATTAAGAGGACCTTCCACCTTCATCTAGCTGGATTGTGAAGGATAAGAGACAGACAGGAGTTCCATTGCATGACCCAACCTCATTTCTGGCATAGAAACTGGGGGCTTGTACCTCTACCATTCGTAAGTTTACCAAACTTCTGCCAAACAAGCCCATCAAAAGGGATGAGATCCCAGAGGTGATCCAGATGGATGAAGATTTATAAAGATACAGAATGAGCAGGACAATATTCCAATGTACTGATTGGACCAAACTATGAATCATTCACGTGTTCCATCCTTTAAGTTGTTCATGGAGCTTATGGTGCTCACTAGGGTTCTACTCAGATATCTCATAGTTCAGTCTGTAGGGATCCCAAGAGGTGGCCCAGGTATTTATATCCATGGGTTTCCACTGGAAATGGGCAGTTATTGAGGGGATTCACCTCTATTTTATCCAGATTAATTTACAATGTTGCAATATTTATCCAACATTGAGAATGTTTTGGATTGATATTAAAGTGTATCTAAACCCGAGAGGAAAATTGTCACCTATTGCAGCTTGCAAGCCCTCAGAGGTGTTGGCTGCATTCATTTTTGTGTTGAAGCATTTTTTTTGCTTTTCATCCAGTGATCCTCCCAGAATTGCACTTCCTGGCTGTGGTTCACTTCCTGTGACACATTTTTAGCTGACAACAGGTTAAAGCCCATTGTCGGCTGACATCACCGAGCCAGCCCAGGCTCTGCAAGGATCCCAATCATATTGTCGGGATCCACTCAGATACCTAACTGGTAGCTTGCTTACCCCCTTAGTGAGCTGCTGAGATACTGACTTGCCCCTCCACGTCCCGGCACTGCAGTGAGCGCTTGAGGAGCACAACAGAGAGCTGGTGACTGACAGGCACTGCCTCTCTGCACACTAAAGAACGAGAGCTGAGTGATCAACAGTGTTTGATCGCTCAGTTCTCAGTCTTAGAGGTGGCGTGGGAAAGATGCAGCTGGGATCGATGCTGCATCCACCAAGGTGAGTATGAATGTTTGTTTTTTTGTTTGATCCTGAACTTCTCTTTTAAAGGAAATGTATTGCAATGTAAAGGGAGAAGTGATTGGAACGGAAACACAGCAGAGAAAAGGGAAGGAAACCAGACAAGCTGGTGAGTGAGCTTGAAGCGTATTTCTACTATTTCTGTCAAATTTGAGAAAACCCCTTTTGTATGTTTCTTAGGAGTTCCGATTCACACAGCAAAAAAAGTTTAAAAATACCTTACCTTTTAGATGTTTCTGAGGAGGAGGTGTCATGGCCGACGTCAAGGTTTTTAGAACAATGTTTCGAGTGATTCTGTCCCAAATCCATCCTTTTTTTAGCATACAATGGAAGAAGCCCCGCCTCTACCCCTCCAACCCTTTGTTAGAACTGACAGTGTTCAAATCTAGTTATGAATGATAATGATCCTGATCTGCCCTGCACAGTACAGACAGGGCTAATGATGGAAAACGCAGCTTCCCCCCCCCCCCCTGACCGATTACACACAATGATTATTATGTTGGATTTTTCCTCACTAGAGGATCCAGAACAAAGCATCTAAAACAGTTCTTATTAATGGGAAGCTGCGTGACTAGGGACAGGGACCAAATATAAGGAAGGTGTTCCCCCACCAGGACTGCAAAAGGGGAAATACATTTTTATAATCTGACATTACATTTTAAAATTAGACAGACATTTATTTTAACAGATAACATGCTGACGTCTCTATTGTCTGGTGATCTGCCTGGCACCTGACATTAAATGCTGTGTATGTGTGCAAAAGAAGCCGAGGAAAAGGATACCTCCAAAAGGCATCTGCTGCCTATATGTCCCTGGCCTTTTGATACACTTTCAGGATAACAGAACAAAAAAAACCTGGAAAAGTGGACTTTAATGGATGTACTGTCTGTTGCCTGTGCTGACCTTAGATACATTTATTAGATACCACTACTGTCTGCTGCCTGCCACTGACCTTGGCTACATTTAATGGATACCTCTACTGTCTGCTCCCTGCACTGACCTTGGCTACATTTAATGGATACCTCTACTGTGTGCTGCCTTCACTGACCTTGGCTACATTTAATGGATACCTCTACTGTCTGCTCCCTGCACTGACCGTAGCTACATTTAATGGATACCACTACTGTCTGCTGCCTGCACTGACCTTGGCTACATTTTCAATGGATACCTCTACTGTCTGCTCCCTGCACTGACCTTGGCTACATTTAATGGATACCAGTCTACTGTGTGCTGCCTTCACTGACCTTGGCTACATTTAATGGATACCTCTACTGTCTGCTGCCTGCACTGACCTTAGCTACATTCAATGGATCCTCTACTGTCTGCTGCCTGCACTGACCTTAGGTACATTGAATGGATACTTCTACTGTGTGCTGCCTGCACTGACCTTGGCTATATTTAACCCCTTGACCCTAACGTCACACAAATATGCGGCCTCACAGAGCTGGGCTTTTTTCTGTGGGGCCGCATTTTTGCGTACTTGTCTTTGTGCTGGGAGTGTGCCACACAGTGCGCTCCCAGCACAAAGACCGGGGTGTCACTGAGAGCCCCGGGTCCAAAAAAACAACAACTGCTTGTTAGAAAAAAAAGATAAATAAATACATAAAAAAAAAAAGAGAATTGAAAATACCTAGATGAAGGTTTCATCTAGTAGAGTGCCGGGGTTAGTGTTTGGGTCAAAGGTCAGGGTCAAAGGTCAGGATTAAAAAAAAAAAAGGATTAAAAAAAAAAAAATTGGTGTCAGTGTGTTCTAGGTAAAAAAAACAAAACGAAAAACAAAATGCGCACTATTGTTTCCGGGCTGTTCTGTGGGTACAAACAACAAATAACACACATATATGGTGTCGCTGCGATCGTCAGGAGCTGGAGAATTTATTTTGGGTTGCTCTATGGTGGTGGGTTATGGTAGTAACAAGAAACAAGACAGACAAATGACAAAACCTGAAAAAAAATGCCTGCTTCCTGCCACCCCGAAACCTGTGGTTATATGTAACCCTGGGACCATCCTGCCCTGACCTTGGCTATATGTAACACATAAATCTCTGTCTGCTTCCTGCCCTTCCCAACCAATGACACCACAAAGCGCCTAACTCACTCCCTGGTCACCTCTCACCTCGACTACTACAACTCCCTCCTCACTAGATCACCTTTACATAGGTGAAATATACCCCCTCCAGTCCATCATGAATGCTGCCGCCAGACTCATCCAACGTACCAACCATTCAGTGTCCTCCACCCCCTCTGCAATCCCTCCACTGGCCTCCATTCAGTGTCCTCCACCCCCTCTGCAATCCCTCCACTGGCCTCCATTCAGTGTCCTGCACCCCTATCTTCCAATCCCTCCACTGGCATCCATTCAGTCTCTGCCACCCCTCTCTACTAATCCCCCCACTGGCCTCCATTCAGTGTCCTCCACCCCCCCTCTGCAATCCCTCCACTGGCCTCCATTCAGTGTCCTGCACCCCCCTCTGCCAATCCCTCCACTGGCCTCCATTCAGTGTCCTGCATCCCTATCTTTCCCTCCCTCCACTGGCCTCCATTCAGTGTCCTCCACCCCTCTCTGCAATCCCTCCACTGGCCTCCATTCAGTGTCCTGCACCCCCCTGCTCTGCAATCCCTCCACTGGCCTCCATTCAGTGTCCTGCACCCCCCTCTGCCAATCCCTCCACTGGCCTCCATTCAGTGTCCTCTGCACCCCTATCTTCCAATCCCTCCACTGGCCTCCATTCAGTGTCCTCCACCCCCCTCTGCAATCCCTCCACTGGCCTCCATTCAGTGTCCTGCACCCCTATCTTCCAATCCCTCCACTGGCCTCCATTCAGTGTCCTGCACCCCTCTCTGCCAATCCCTCCACTGGCCTCCATTCAGTGTCCTCCACTCCTCTCTGCCAATCCCCACCCTGGCCTCCATTCAGTGTTCACCCCTCTCTCCCAACCCGATGCCTTAGAGCTTACAATACAGGAGGAATCAGGGGCCCTGTCCTGTCTGTCCTCGTGTTGTAAAGTACCGAGCACACAGAGTGACTATCGGCTTTATATAAACCCCCTGTATAATAATATCACTGAATGTCAGAACCACCAGCCAGTGTCCCTGATCACCCCCACACACAGTCCCAGTGTCCCTGATCACCACACCAGTCCCAGTGTCCCTGATCACCACACCAGTCCCAGTGTCCCTGATCACCACACCAGTCCCAGTGTCCCCTGATCACCTCCACACCAGTCCCAGTGTCCCCTGATCACCACCACACACCAGTCCCAGTGTCCCCGATCACCCCACACCAGTCCCAGTGTCCCCGATCACCACCACACCAGTCCCAGTGTCCCTGATCACCCCCACACCAGTCCCCAGTGTCCCTGATCACCACCACACCCAGTCCCAGTGTCCCTGATCACCTCCACACCAGTCCCAGTGTCCCTGATCACCTCCACACCAGTCCCAGTGTCCCCGATCACCTCCACACCAGTCCCAGTGTCCCTGATCACCACCACACCAGTCCCAGTGTCCCTGATCACCACCCCACCAGTCCCAGTGTCCCTGATCACCCCCACACCAGTCCCAGTGTCCCTAATCACCACCACACACCAGTCCCAGTGTCCCTGATCACTTCCACACCAGTCCCAGTGTCCCTGATCACCACCACACCACCATTCCCAGTGTCCCTGATCACCACCACACAGTCCCAGTGTCCCTGATCACCTCCACACCAGTCCCAGTGTCCCTGATCACCACCACACACCAGTCCCCAGTGTCCCTGATCACCTCCACACCAGTCCCAGTGTCCCTGATCACCTCCACACCAGTCCCAGTGTCCCTGATCACCTCCACACCAGTCCCAGTGTCCCTGATCACCCCCACACCAGTCCCAGTGTCCCTGATCACCTCCACACCAGTCCCAGTGTCCCTGATCACCACCACACCATTCCCAGTGTCCCTGATCACCACACACACCAGTCCCAGTGTCCCTGATCACCACACCAGTCCCAGTGTCCCTGATCACCTCCCACACCAGTCCCAGTGTCCTGATCACCTCCACACCAGTCCCAGTGTCCCTGATCACCACACCAGTCCCAGTGTCCCTGATCACCACACCAGTCCCAGTGTCCCCGATCACCCCCGCACCAGTCCCAGTGTCCCTGATCACCTCCACACCAGTCCCAGTGTCCCCGATCACCCCCACACCAGTCCCAGTGTCCCTGATCACCACCACACCAGTCCCAGTGTCCCTGATCACCACCACACCAGTCCCAGTGTCCCTGATCACCACCTCACCATCAGTCCCAGTGTCCCTGATCACCCCCACACCAGTCCCAGTGTCCCTGATCACCTCCACACCAGTCCCAGTGTCCCTGATCACCACCACACCAGTCCCAGTGTCCCTGATCACCAGCCAGTCCTGGTCTCACCAAGTGGACTCAGTCACATGTGCAGTGACATCACTGGGTATACATTGAAGTACATGAATGAGGTGGAAACGTTGTATTGAAGAATTTCATGTTGATGGGGAACCAGAGAAGGGGAAATATAAGCTGATTAAACTCCAGGTTTAAAGTGGTTGTGAACCCTTCATACACCCAGCAAAGTGGTACACAGAGCATAAACAAATCCTCCTACATAAGATGTACCTCTTTATCTGCAGCCCTGCTGCCCTCTACACAGACTCATAGGGCAGCACAGCGGCTAAATGGTTAGCGCTTCCGCCTGGCAGTACTAGGGTCGTTGGTTCAAATCCCAACTACAGCACCACCTGCCTGGAGTTTGTATGTTCTCCCTGTGCCTGCGTGGGTTTCCTCCGGGTACTCCGGTTTCCTCCTACACTCCAAAGACATACTGGTAGGTTAATTGGCTCCTGTCTAAATTGTCCCTAGTATGTGTATGTATGAATGTGACTTAGGGACCTTAGATTGTACACCCCTTGATGGTTAGGGACCTTAGATTGTACACCCCTTGATGGTTAGGGACCTTAGATTGTACGCCCCTTGATGGTTAGGGACCGATGTGAATGTACAATATATATGTAAAGTGCTACGTAACTTGATGGCGCTATATAAGTACCTGAAATAAATAAATAAAATAGGGAAACATGCACACCTGAGGCTGTCAATCACCTGCTGTGTGCTGGAGGGGAGGCATCTCCTGTGATTGTCTGGTTTCAGCACAAACTGACAGAAGTGACTTGTGCAGAGAGAGGAGGGATCAGATAGGAACCACACTCTGCTTTGGATTGAGGCAAGTACACACTATAGAAGGATCTGCTCTGTTCATTTTTCATTTCAGAGGCTTACAGCCACTTTACACTATTTTCTATTCTATCAATAGATAGTTTTGTATCTGTTTGTGGTGTCTGAGCTGAGCTGCCTCGTGGTTTCCTGTGATGACGGGGACATTTCACAGACCTCAGATGTGTGACTTCCCATCAGCATTGTTATTTACAGCAATGATTACTGATATCTTCTACCAATAACCCGGAGACGTCTGTGGATTCCTCTTCTTACCATATTCCTCTCCATCACCGTTGTCCTCCATGTATGATCTATTATTAATAATATCTCAGACCCATTTGGGAAGAATTTCCATTCTTTGATTCACAATGGAAGCCAGAGAAATCAATGAACCTTCCAGAACACTGTGGTTGGAGTTGGGCCCCCCAACCCAGACAGTGATGAAGAGAGAAAACCCAGATCACATCCTGGACTAATCCAACATCAGTCTGCTCAGTGATGGTGGTGGTGGCATTGTGTGACATCATTGAGACAATAAAACCCAACAATGAAGAAGACATTACCTGGGAGTGCGCATGCGCGGCCGGCGGGACGGACATGTCCCGATAGAGCTCCGTCTCCCCGTTGGGTGACAGAGCCTCTAAGCAGCGGATCCCGGCCCGCGATTTACAGCGGAGGGACCGGATCTTCAAGGTGGGCCCCCCTGACCTGAACCGCCCCACTCAGCAGCGGATCCATAGCTGCGGGGCTTGCATATCTGACAGGCTCCGTCCCCACAGTGAGCCGATTACTGGCCCCCCCACTGCCCAGAGCCTGCACGGAGGCAGAGAAGAGAACGGGGGCTGAGGAATATATAACAGCCCCCCCCCCCTGGCAAGTGACAAAAATGGTTAAGGGGCACCCCGGCACCAGGCCCCCCCTCCAACTAAAACAATAAAGGAGGCCCTAGCAAAGGCCTCAACAAAGATGGCCACCGCCCCAGCACATTCCAATAAGAAGACAGCAGTGACATATGCAGCTTTACTGGATTCGCAGGCCAGCCATCCCTGCACATCTGAGGGTGAGTCTGACATTGACACGGACACCCCTGTCCACGCTTTGACATCTGACCTTTCACCCCCCTGACCTATTGGCACGATTTGAAAAAATGCTGCACAAAGCTCTGAAGCAAACTTCTGACCGCATCACCGCTACACTATCTAGGGAAATCCGTGAACTAGGACAACGCACTGCGGACCTAGAACAGAGAGTGGACGGTGTTGACGCCTCGCTTCAGACACAAGTGGATGACCTTGACCTTCTGCGTGACAAAAACGCAACACTACAAACACGACTAGAGGACTTTGAAAACCGAGCAAGGCGCTCGAATTTGCGTGTCCGCGGCCTTCCGGAAACAATCGTCGACGTCCAATCAACAGTAACAGCTCTATTTCAGGAGCTTGCCCCAGCTATCCCAATTGAGAGATTGGAAATGGATGGATAGAGTCCACAGGGCGCTAGCCCCACGCCGCACAGAAGGTCCACCACCACGTGACATTATAGCAAAGCTCCACTTTTTCCGCACTAAGGAGCAACTCCTACAAGCGGCTCGTTCTAGAGAATCTCTGCAGTTCCAGGGCCACACTTACCAACTATTCCAAGATCTATGCCCCCAACTATTGCCAAGCGCAGGGCTATGAAACCTCACCTACAGGCACTTCAACAACACGGTGTACCGTATAAGTGGGGCTTTCCCTTTGCAGTGCGGTTCCGATACCAGACCCGAGATTACATCTGTAAGACACCAAAAGAGCTACTGGATACCCTGCGGATCCTGAAGATACACTCCCCAGCAACACCGTCAGAGAGTACTAAACGGAGGTCTACGTCCTGCTTGCCGCGGAAATCTTATCCCCCACGTACAAATGAAGGTCAACTCAGCCTCCATAAACGAGGGCGTTTCTCATCAGCAGGCCTGTCTTCACAAGACACCATGGACTGATTCTCGTCCCACCCTTTTTTTTTTTTTTTTTTTTTTTTTTCCTCCTGCCACACGCACCAGGCGGTGTACCTTTTTGATCACCATCGAGGTTCTCACCCGTGATGTTCTTTCTCTCTCTCCCTGTTGAATTATGGTTGCCCCATATGTTGTTTAATATTTGTTTGTATTTGGGTGCCTCGGCTCCGGCAGCATGGAATGCCGCATTTCCCCTTCCATATGGATTAACCCGTGCAACCAGTGCTGCCCCAGCCTAGGACCCCCCGAATTCTTCAGATGCTTTTCCACCTGTTCTTCTTCCGGGATCCCGCTATTGTACATTTATGTTAATACTGTCATCCCCGGTCCGGACGTGCGCACTCCACTCTAGCCCCTGTGTTATTGGCTATTTAATAGCACTTGGGCTACTATCGCTCCCTGGTTCACCCTGACTTTGGGTGTCCCGGGGACCACCTTTTAGGCCTTAAATGGTCCCCTATATTCCTTCTTCTTTGTTACCTCTCCCTCACCGTACCCCTTTTCCTCCCCCCCACTATGACTCCATGACTTTGCGCTACCTCTCCTGCGAATTATCCACCTCCTACAGCAATTGTCAGACTCCATCCCAGATGGCGGTGCTATACTATTC